AAGATTTTTGTCCTTGCCACATGGTTCTTAATTTTAAGTTCTCTTCTTTCAGAATAGAAGCCCTGTAGTTATATTTAGGGTGTATCTGACTGATGCTTGACTTGGATGTGAGAGGAGAGACAATAATATCTCTTGATTCTTCAGCCTCTTAATCCATTGCCACAGAGCCTTATAAGCACTTTCGGTTTGCTTAGATCATACCTGGTAGTATCACTATCATTCTTTATCATATATGCTAGTGATTGGTAGAACCCTTTGCAACTTGGCAAATTTGGACTCTTGTGAAGAAACACAGCAGCCATAATGCAGATGCCAGGTGGTGCAGATGCCTCCACATGACCTTGAGTAGAAGGCCACTAACCAGTAACATCTTTTCCTTTTCCTAATAGAGGTTTTGTACTCCTTGGGGTATGGTTTTTTTTGTCTGTTATCACTGAGATTGGTTCCTACTCGCTCCATGGTCAGCACTCCTGCTTTTGATTTTGGTGGTAAACTATTCAGATGCTGAATGCTACAAGCCCTCAGAGGGCATCGGCAGCCATCTTCCCCTCTGTAGTTTCAAGCTTACTTCTCCAGTACTGGTACTGCTACCAAACTGAAAACTCTGTTTTAATTTTTTTAGTTCCAAATGCATGTTGTGGATGAAACCCTCATGACCATAGTCAGCCAGTTTTGATTCTCTCTTTTCACTGCTCCTCTAATTGCTTCTTAAGAGGTTCCCTTAGAGATCTAAAAGAAGTCCTTCCAGATTTCACTAGTAGGAAAATAAAGGCCAAAGTTCCTGTAAATCCATTCAAGGATTTCATCACAAGATGTCATCATTGTCTAATTTTAAATATAGCTATTGAATTATCAATGTATGACATCTTTCCTCTGAAATATTTTTCATTGAGAATGAGATACTACGTAGTATAAAAAGCTCTTCATGCCTCTTAGATTAAGAATATTTGTGCTTGAATTTAATATATATTTTTTTTACTAACAGTTCATAAAAACACTGAAGTATAATATGACATATAGGACTAAGTAAATACCAAAATGAAGGATTCCACATTAAGGTACATTTGCTCTTCAGTATTATCAGAAATTTTACTGTTTGCTGAAATGTTATTAGACAAGAAAAGTGAAGTTTCCTGAGTATAGTGCTCAGTAATCTAGATGCTTTCAGTTCAACACTGGATTAAAAGCTTAACATGAGCCACCAATGTGCGCTTGCAACCCAGAAGGCCAACTGTATGCTGGGCTGCATCAAGAGAAGCGTGACCAGTAGGTCAAGGCAGGTGATTCTGCCCCTTCTGCTCCACTCTGGTGAGACCCCACCTGGAGTCCTGCATCCAGTTCTGCAGCCCTCAGCACAGGAAAGACATGGAGCTGTTGGAGGGGGTCCAGAGGAGGGCTACAAAAATGATCCAAGGGCTTGAGCACCTCTCATATAAGGAAAGGCTGAGAGAGTTGGGGCTGTTCAGCCTGGAGAAGAGAAGGCTCCGGGGAGACCTGATTGCAACCTTTCAGTACCTGAAGGGGGCCTAGAGCCTAAGTGGAAAATATTTTCAGCAGGGCTTATTGCAGTAGGACAAGGAGCAATGGCTTTAAACTAAGAGAGGGCTGATTCAGACTAGATATAAGGAAGAAATTTTTTACGATAAGGGTGGTGAAACACTGGAACAGGTTGCCCAGAGAGGTAGTGGATGCCCCCTCCCTGGCAGTGTTCAAGGCCAGGTTGGAAGGCGCTCTGAGCAACCTGGTCTAGTTGAAGATATCCCTGCTCGCTGCAGGTGGGTTGGGCTACACGACCTCTAAAGGTCCCTTCGAAGCCAAAGCATTCTATGATTCTTTGATTAGGAGAAATCTCTTTGACTTGTACACTCTGAACATTAAGCACATTATTTTTAATCTCTACTGAATAATTTTTTTTACACATACAGAATCATAGAATAGTTTGGGTTGGAAGGGACCTTTAAAGGTCATCTAATCCAGCCCCCCTGTAAGTAGCAGGGACATCTTTAACTAGATCAGGTTGCTCAGAGCCCCATCTAGCCTGACCTTGAACGCTTCCAGGGACTGGGCATCTACCATGTCCCTGGGCAACCTGTGAGAGTGTTTCACCACCCTGATTGAAAAAATTTCTTTCTTATACCTAGTCTGAATCTACCGTCTTTTAGTTTAAAACCTTTACACCTTGTCCTCTTGTAACAGGCCTCAGTAAAAAGTCTCTCTCTGTCTTTCTTGTAAGCTGCCTTTATATATTGGAAGGCTGCAATAAGCTCTCCGCAAAGCCTTCTCTTCTGCAGGCTGAATGACCCCAACTCTCCCAGCCTTTCTTCATAGCAGAGGTGCTCCAGCCCTCTGGTCATTTTTGTGGCCCTCATCTGGACCCGTTCCAACAGGTCCATGTCTCCTGTGCTGAGGGCTCCAGAGCTGGACGCAAATATACTCAAGTAAAACTAAGAAAACTCATATATTTTTATATAAACTGATTAAATATTTCAAAATTATATTACCTGATACTGTACTACTTAATTTTTATTCCTAGGCATAGGCCAGATCTTTACTTGCAGCTATGTTATGCTTAGCATAGAGCCAGGAAGGAGAAGAGAGAAGGTGAATGAGTTCTGAGATGGAATTTAGGTCCTCGGGCTGTCCTCAGCCCTACAACACCAGGGCAGATAAAACCTTAAGTATAACATGTAGGGAACCAGAAAATGTCAGCATCTGTAAGTAATTAGTCAGGGGCTATGTGAGGCACATGTGAGGAACACTGGAGCACCTGAGAAGATTCTTGCCAATAAACTATAGGAGCTCAGAGGAAGCACACACACAAAAAAACTGATTTGCTGGAGAAAAATTCAAAGCAAGTCCTTTACTGGGGCCAAAGAGCTATCAAAAAATCTCTTAGGTTGTATTATCAGTAAGAAAGACCTGTATGCTGCCTTGTGGTAGTTCATACGTGGAAAGTAACACAAGCTAAAATCTTAAGTCAAGTAAAATCTGCTCTTAAGTATATAAATATCATTGTAATGAGGCTCCACTTGATTGGTTACTCCAGTCTTCTAACAGAAATAAAGACTCCTTATTTTCTGCTAGATAACCCTATTAAATTCTTAATAAAAAAATAAGAATCTACTTGAAGTAGAACATGTTTTATATAATGCATTTAATGTATTTGATATTACAACAGATTTCTTTGCTTTCCTGCCTAAACTGTGTTTGAACCTGGAAAAGGCAGAAAGGAATGAAAAGTGGAAAGCATATGTGAGGCTGCATATACCCAGGTCTATAACAGAAAGAGATGTCTTTATTGCAGTTCGCATGTACAGCAAAATTGATTAAACTTCAAGAAGAGTAGCTGTATTTTGATTAACAGTACATTGCTTAATTTCTTCATTAAGAGCAAAATCAGATTATCATTCTAAGCTAGCTAAAAACCATTAAGGAGTTGACAGAAATAAAAAAAGTTGGTTTCCAGGAAACTGCAGATCAAGTAGAAAAAAGATGGGTCTCAGAGTCCCCTCTGAGAAAAGATGAAGCAAAGAAGAGAGTAGATCTCCTGCCAAAGGAAAGAGATGAATAACCAAATGCCATATTTGAATGCCAAGAAAACAATGCATGCAGCAGAAGCCACAAAATGGCTGATGACACGAGTTGTAAGATATTTTCTGTTCTTAAAAGAAAAAAGTAGAAAAAGAAAAGCAGTGGTCAGTCATAGGAAGGGACAGAGTAGTACTCGCACATTACTAAATTATGATAATTTGCATATACATACTGTTGCTTTTGTCTCCTTTTCATAGCTCTTACGTGCTGTGCACCTTCTTAATCAACACCTGATTTTGCATTTGGTGCCTGTGCTGTGTACCACCATGACAAAAACAATAAACAGAAAATCCTGAATTACTTATAATATCTTCAGAAATTATTACCTATCCCCTAATGCAGAGTTTCTCTGTGAATAATTCCTCCCTTCCAACACTGGAAGATTCAGAAAGAAAAAATAGCCTGCCAGGACAACATGCCTAGCACTTATGATGACATTGCTCCTTACTGTTTTAGAAAAAAATAATCTGAATCTGCTTGGTTTATCTGCAGTTGTACTCAAATATGTTATTTTATCTTTTTCCTGGATTTCCTTCTCACTGTCCAGTTACTGTTAAAATTGCTGTGTTGCCTCTATTTAATTGGTAAGGCACAGTTTCGTCCTGTTTAGATATAATGCTCCATGAAATGGACAGTTGTTAAAATACCTTTTTGTAAAAAATTTTAAGTGATAAGGTACATAGTCTCCTGCCCGATACATTAAGCCAAGTAACTGCATGCAATTGCTAGCAGGGATGTACCAGTACAGGTGAGTTCACACAGCTTTGCCTCAAGACCAAATTATTCAGACATACAAGTCAGTTTCCTTACCATGAGTTAGGAAGAAGATATGCTAAAATATTTTCAAAATTCTTATCAGCACAGTTGCACAGGTTTATGCTGACACACCAACAGGCTAGTCATGACTTTGAGTTCTTAGAATTCACCGTGGTAGGGAAGGTTTGCAAATTTTCCCATCATTGCTAACACCAGTCAATGGCTGTCAGCAACATTTTCTGACCTCTGCCAAATACTTGCTCGAAGCAGCATTAGATAATATAATGCTTTAAAAAGTGTCACCAGCTATTGGATTATATATACTCAGGGTCTCATCATTCCAAACAAAATCTCAGCTGAAAAAGATTGGAAAATGTTCCCCTAGTAGAAAGACTTTAGTATGAAGACATTAATGGAATATTTTTTCTGGTAAGATTTCAAAACAACATGACTCTAATATGCTATTTAAAGTAACAGCTCCAGGATACTGGGCCTAATGCATCTCTAGCAGTAAACAACATTGATTCTGTTCATGGTTATTCAAATATCTACTAATGATTTCAACACAGTGGATTACTTAGCAATATCTTATCCACAGCTTCCCTATAGACAGTTAAGTCAAAATTAAACAATAGTTAGTTGATTTTCCTTACTTGTAGTGTGATCATTCATCTCCCCCAGTCCAGTATTAATTCCAGCATCTATTGAACTCATGATTTTATCAATCTACAAAAGAGAGAACAGTGAAAACAATTGATGGGCCCCAGCTTTGTTATTTTATTTTAGTTTATCATGCATAAATTTATGGCATTACTACTCTCACTAGGAATACAACAATCAAGATTGAGAAATGCAAAAATCAAAGGCAGACAACTAATTTGTCCACTTTGATTTTTATTTTGTAACATTTGTACACTAGCAAAAGCTAAAGCTTGAGGCTAGTATTTATTTTTCTACAGTACAGTTCCTTTCACACTGATGACTTGTCATCAGGTATATCTCATTCTTTGAAACTACTTTGTCATATTTCAGGATGTATAAATCCAAAGGAGAAAAACATATGTATTAAAGTACGGGATGGAATGGATTTTAATTTTGTAGGCTCATTTCATTCGATAACTGTGAACCACTAGAGGTCTATTTAAGCAGTAGTATTAATGCATAAGAATATTGGTTTGTGTGTTATAAAGTACTAAAGCAATTGTTCAATTAAGATTTCCAGAGAATTTCCTCTCTCGCTGTGTTCGATCTGCCCCAAGGCCACTGAATAGGTATGAAACATAGCTGTGCCCACACATACCCCAGAATGATATTGTTTCTGAAACAGGACTACATTGATCCCAAAACTCATTTGCACATTTCTAAATTACATTGGACTTACTATGTCAAAACTAATATACCTATTGTATTTTCTGTAAGAACAGGACAAAACTAAAAGTGAATCAAAAGGCTGGTGCTGTCTAAGAAAGCAGAGAGAAACAGGTTTTACTGAGCTTAATATTAGGACTATTAGGAAAACTGCCTCCTTTTTAAATACTATATATTAGTCACTGGTGACAGGAGAAAATCTGGGAATTATGTCAGAATCTGCAGATTTAGAATTATTACCTTTTTATATATATATATAGACTACATGTTTCTGACCCTTAAGAACCATCAAACCTTGACATCCCCCTAAAAATGCAAACTTGGACCTGATTCATTTCAGGATTTCATAACAATATATCCAAGTTATTAAGATCAAAACCTGATCCTGAGTACCTTTCTACTGAGAAAGTATCTGCTTTACAACAGACACTATCTTCAGATGCCCTATCAAATCAGACACTTAGATGAGCTGGAAACCTTCTTCTAGAAAAATAACCAATCACACAAACAAGCTCTAGGTTCTTTCTGCAATAAAATGGCACTCTGGAGATATGTATGTTTCCCCATAGCAGTCATTTTAAAGAGAAACGTTTGCTTCTCTGTAATAGCAGTAAAGATCTAAACACTTCCCACTCTTCATTTACCTCTGTAAGACAGGAACTTTTGTCTTTACAAAGAATCATTTACACTCCTGAAATTTAGCATAGGAGAAAAAAAATTAAAAACAAGTGTCTAAAAATTATTTTTAATCTAGTTCTAAAACTGAAATAAAGTCTCTTGTATAAGCAAGCATGTGCACTACAAATTCCATGTGGACATTTCTGTTAAAAGTCCTGAATTCGTTGTAGCTATTAGTGTATTCCCACTTCACACAGGAGTCAGGTATACACCAAGCATTCTGTACACAGGCTACAAACCGGTTAAAGAATATGTTATACAGGGAGGGTTTGTAGAATGCACAATCAAGCTAAAAACTTAGACTCTCCTTTCCTGCCATTTTCTCTTGTCCCTTGCTGGTGGGCATTGCCATGGTGGGAAATAATTAGCAAATACTTAAATAATGGGCATAGCTATAAAGAATTTTACCAATTTTATTAGTGTCGGTGGTGAGGGCTTTAGTAGAAAATAATTTCAATGTCGCAAAAAAATTGTAGAATTGCTTCTGGTTAACTTCCTTAGTTATGGAAACAATAGACTTCATTAAGTGTGCGACATTTTGAACAGAAATGCATTGCATTTTGTGCCAGCTGTCAAACTACCATGCATTACACTATGACACACTCTCTGAGGATTTGCAGTGTGGAAGATTCACTTTTTAGTGCACCTTTGAAACCGAAAACAGCAACAGCATCTTCACAATACCATAAATTTGCTTGTATTTAAAAACAAATAAAACTTACTTCTTCCCATTCCGACGTGAAGGAAGGTGTTCTCTCCGAATTCCCTTTGGAGCACTGTTGGTTTGGTGTGGGTTCACTCCAGTTGCTTCTTGCTTTTTTGTCATTTGGTGGATGGGTGATAAGATTAGAATCAGATTTTGAAACATTTTTGGACAAATGCATTTCAAGCAAAGTCTTTGGTAAAGATCGTATTCTCCCAAGTGTGCATGCTCGCTCCACAAATGCCCCAGTAGTAATAACCCACTGTTCACTTATCCTTGCTGACGTGCCAACCAATGTATGATTTTCTACTGGTTTAGTTTTAGTATGAAATATGGTTCTGTTTACAACCGGTGGTTTTTTTTTCTTAACAGGAGGATCAGTGTTGCTTTCTTTCTGTAGCTGTATTTGCTGCAGTGTGCTCTTGCTCAAAACGCTTTTCTCTAGTGGACCACTGCACTGGTTTGCTTTGCTGTACAGCTGGAGTGGATTATCAGGTGGGTCACACGCAGGTGATGATCCATGAAGTAAACCTGCAAACTGTTCAGCTGGGTGTCCTGCAGGAAGCTCACTTTCAGTGGATGTTTCTCCCTGCCAAAGATGCTCTGAAATGAGAGAGTACCTTGTAAAACAACAGGGTAATAAAATACTGCAAACAACAAAACAGTTAGTCTCCACGAAATGACTTTTGTTTGTTGCTTGATTCTTTCTTATGTACAGAAACAAAAGACACTTATGCTATGAATTAATTTATTAGTCTCTTAAAAAGAGATTCTATCCTTAAACTTGAGTATTTTATCCTGACTGATTGAAGAACAGCCAAAACCACTCTGTGCTACACATAAATTCCAGGAAAAAACATATTTATAAAATAAAATAGGTCATTGCTATTCCATCAACTTGATGGTGTCTCTTTTAATTTGTTATTGAGTTGAAATGTGTACAAATTATATTTCATATGATGGATTAGCTAGTTACTTCATAGGTAGCAAAACACATAAAGAACTTGTACTGTCACGAGTATTGTTAGTAATTTTTCTTATACTCATTATAATAATAGTGGATTTACACTACGACACCTTTTTGCTGACAGTGTCTAAAGAACAGATGTGAGTTTTGTTTTTATTTCTGGGAACTTCTGAGAATAGATTCAGAGTAATGGTAACCATTGGAAAAAAAGAATAGGAAATCAGGTCTTTTTGAAACAAATTTATATGCAATTTAGCACACACACACATAAAGGAACTACAGAAAAATGCACTTTTTGGCACAATTCAGAGTGGATTAATAAATTTTTTATGCTCTTTTTATGCCTACTACTGTAAGGACTAGGGAGGAAAAAAAAAAGAGACCTTTTTCTACCTGTGCTGACTCGTTTAAAGAGTTGGCATCAATAACTTCACTCTATCCTCATGGCATTAATTGTGCATATTCTACTCAGAATAACTGTGTCCCCACTAACAGCTGCATCTCTATAACAACTTCACTAAAGATGAATGTATTTATCTCATTCTTGCTAGAAGTTGCATGTTATCTGGTGAGACCCCATCTGCAGTCCTGCATTAGCTCTGGAGCCCTCAGCACAGGAAAGACATGGATGGACCTGTTGCATCGAGTCCAGAGGAGGGCCACAAAAAATGGTCAGAGGGCTTGAATACCTCTCCTATGAGGAAAGGCTGAGAAAGTTGTGGCTGTTCAGCCTGGAGAAGGCTTTGGGGAGACCACATAGTAGCCTTTCAGTACTTCAAGGGGGCTTATAAGAAAAAATGGGACAGGATTTTTAGTAGGATCTGTAGCAATAGCACAAGGGGCAATGGTTTTAATCTAAGAGAGGGTAGATTCAGACCAGATATAAGGACAAACTTTTTCACAATGAGGGTGGAGAAACACTCAAACAGGTTGCCCAGAGAGGTGGTAGTTGCCCCATCCCTGGAAACATTCAAGGCCAGGTTGGACGGGGCTCACAGCAATGTAATCTAGTTAAAAATGTCCCTGTTCATTGCAGAAGGGTTGCACTAGATGACTCTTAAAGGTCCCTTCTGCCCGGCAGAAAAGAATCTTGGGGTATTGGTTGACAGCCGGCTGAACATGAGCCAGAAGCGTGCCCAGGTGGCCCAGAAGGCCGACGGCATCCTGGCTTGTATCAGCAATAGTGTGGCCAGCAGAGGAGGCTGAGGGGGTACCTTATCACTCTCTACAACTGCCTGAAAGGAGGTTGTAGTGAGACAGGTGTTGGTCTCTTCTCCCAAGTAACTAGCGATAGGACGAGAGGCAATGGCCTCAAGTTGCATGAGGGGAGGTTTAGACTGGATATTAGCAAGAACTTCTTTACTGGAAGAGTGGTCAGACATTGTAACAGGCTGCCCAGGGAGGTGGTTGAGTCACCATCCCTGGAGGTGTTCAAAAAACGTGTAGTTGTGGCACTTCAGGATATGGTTTAGTAGGCATGGTGGTGGTGGGGTGATGGTTGGACTTCATGATCTTAGAGGTCTTTTCCAAGCCATGATTCTGTGATTCTATATGTAGACTCTAACTGCAGCGCTGTATGCATGGCACTAGCTACCAGAAGGAATCAAACACAGCATCACATCATAATTTGCAAAGAAATTGAACAGTTTCAACCTATTGGCTAAAATACCTGCTTGTAAAAAAACCCCACAAAGCTCAAAATATTACTTCTAAAAGGAGACAGTATTTGATTACATGAATGACAGAAGAAAGATTTGGATGTGTACTTCAAAGTACCATCAGCTCTTTTACTTGTCAGCAGTTGAAAAGTGTACAAGTATGTGTTTTTCTCATTTGTTGAAATACAAGGATAAAATTCTAATCCAGATTAGGAGTGCAACCTAAGGAAATCTACTTTTTTTGTTTAGGAAACAACTGACTAGAATATACACTTAACACTTTTCGCAACGAAAAAGATGTGGGGTGTTACAGAGAAAGCTTGAATGTGGGATACGACAGAGCTTAAGGAATCAACAATGCCAGAAAAGTTGGTTTGGAGAAAGAAAGTAGGGGAAAAGGAGGAGATGAGAAATTCTCAATTTCTTTTATCTCTGAAAGTTGCTGAATTAATTGTATGACTGCAAATTTGAAGGTGAATTTAAAGTGAAAAATAAATGATGCAAATAATGTTTGACTTTGGTGGTTTTCCCTTACATGAAAAACTCGGTAGCTGGTATTCAGCTCCGAAGTAAGACATAATTTTACATATTTACATAGGTAAGAAGTATGTAAGCTCCCACCACAGCCAGAGATCAGGTTGATAAAGTCAGTGGATCCTAGAGAGCGATGCCATTCACTGTATGTTGTGGCTGGTCAGCTGAATCACTCTCTGAACTCTGTTAACAGTATTGACTAGACTGCCAATAGCTGTAATGGGAGATGGCATCCAGTTTATGTTCAGATACCTACATTTAAATGTCTTAATCACAAACTGAATTCTATTCTGCTGTTCCATATAGGAGTCTTAATAGTTGTATATTGAACTTAAGAGATACGTTTTTGTCAGGACAAAGTAAGAAAGAAGAATAGGTCAGGAAAAAGAAAAGTTTACAGACACCTGGATTGCAAGGATTTCATCAATACCTACATTATCTTCACTAATATCTTTGCTACATCTAGACTTACAAATAAAACTATTCTTTGATGCCTTTTACTTTTAATTAAGAGCTTTATTAATTATATGACAAAGGAAGCAAAGATCTCACAGCGATGCCTTCTTCACCGCATGATTTTAAGCAATGCAAACCACATCTGTATTGGGCAATGAAAAAGACTGGGGGTGTCAGGAAAAAATAGTATGTGATCATGATAAAGGTTAAGAAGCAAGCAGCATTGCATGCTGCACTGCAGCTGTAGAACAGGTTATCCAGAGAGGTGGCATGTCCATCCTTGGAGGTTTTCAAGACCTGACTAGGAAAAGTCTTGTCTGATCCGACGACAGTCCTGCTCCAAACAGGAGGATGGACTAGATGACATCCAGATGTCCCTTCCAACCCACACTTTAATGATCCAATTATAATTCCAAATCTTTTGACTTCTGAATTGACAACTGTTAAGTCTAATGCTCTTTTAATACAGAGTAATATTGTTATTTTAGTTTCCTAATGCAGTTAATGCGTAATACTTTTATATTCAGAGAATAATGAGAGCACAGAGATAGACTATACGACTTGTCTAAATAGTACAGTAGCCTACCACTCACTGTATTCTAAAGAAATCACAAAAGGAAAAAAATGATCCATGCAATAGATAGCCATAAAATAATTTGCCAGAGTACACTTTTCTTTCTTATTCCAAGTCAGTATTTGTTCACCTAAGACCTGAAACGTGAGATACTAAATAACCTCTTCAAACTGCACTATATATAAAACTGCAACTACATGTCTTCATTGCTCATGTGAATATCCAAGATCTCAGTTTCAAGAATTTAAAAGTATAAAAAATTCTAAACAGGACAATATAATGCTTTTTCTATACTCTTGCTAAAATAGGCAGCTTAACTTAAAAAAAAATCATTCCTTAGCTTTTAATAATTACCTATATCTGAGACTGTTGTCTTTTTGTTGTTGCATATTTCTGCCATAAGTTTTAAGACAACTGATACTGAAATAAATATTTCTTCTGAGGCTCAGTAGTGATACACAAAATGTGACATTTTATGTATTATTTTCTGTCCATTTTTAAAAATATCAAAGTCATTCTTATTCTTTTGAATACTGCTGTGCATTGGAAAAAATCCATTCATTAAGTTGTCTATACTGATGATCAATGTCCTGTGTGGTTAGAATAAATTTTAAATCTGCTGATATCTCTCAGAAATTCAGACCCTCCATTCCTATTGTGTTCTATCCCCTAACTTTATCATATGCTTTTGAACCTTTTCATTAGATGCTTTATTTTTACCTGTTTCAACCAGCTTTACTGGCAGTAAGAATCTATATGATATGCAATTATTGCATAGGTCTATACTCAGTGTACAGTAAGTTAATGATACCAGTTTTGATTTCTCATGGGTTTTTGAATAAGTCTGAAAATGGACTTTAAGAAAGAGCATGAGGATTCCAAGGAGAGAGAACAGGTGGAGAAGTTCAAGCTCTTGGATTGAATCCCAATGGAGAAAAGTTTTCTGCTTATATTTTTTTTCTTATTGCAAGAATATTTATTTTTGTAATCTTAAAAAAAAGAAACAACCCAAAACAAAAAAGAAAGAGCTCTTACTTCCTCACCAGATACTACTTTTCTCACCACATTATCTATTTACTTGTAAATAGAATCCTGAATATCAAAACATAAACAGATATCATTTCTGCAGATCTTTAGTGGTATTACAAGTGCATGTACAGCTTACCCATCTAAGTAGTTTACTTCTGAAAATCACTGTGATACTGACATATCTGTGTTGCACGGAAAACATTTACATTTGGAAGTACAAATAAATTCAGTTCTGCCATAAGCTCTAAGCCACAGACACACATTGCTATTATCACCAGTTTGTACAGAACAAAACTGGCATTCAGGCAGCAGATTGCAATTCAATCAGCTATTTATTTACACACTGGTGCACCCCAGCACAGTTGCTTGTG